CCTTTTTTCCCCTGTTCAACAAGCTGCCTTAATTCTCATTGTACTGGCAATGGTAATTTTTCCCCAAAAATATGCTCTTTCCAGCTCATTTTCTCTAAGAGGTCATAATTTTAAAAAATATTTAATAATGCTAACAATAATACCAAAAAAGTCAAATTCCTTTCCCTAAGATTTTGTTCTCTATAATCTGTTCTTATCATTACTCCTCTTTCTGTTTTAACCAGTCATACTTTATGCTCTAGGAAATCCCTCCCTTAACTCCATTTGCTTCTGCTCAATCTCTCACTTTCATTATATCCTCCAACCCATTCCTATCTATTATCTTTTCCACAATTTGACCTCAACAAACCCTTCCTATCATTTCTTCCAAAATTCATCTTAAGGAATTCCTACTCCAAACTGGCCTCTCACTGTTCCCTTAATATGTCATGCTCTCTCCAGCCCCACCACTTGGCACTTACCCTGCTCCACTTCAATGCTTTTCCCAGCACTTTCAGAAAAGCCAACCTGTTACCACCCCTTGCAAGTTGTTGGACAGAGCTATGGATATTTTACTTTTATTCTCCAGCTTCCTCCAGCCTCCACCGTTATTGTTTTCCTGTCATTCTCTTCTATGCACTCCAAAGATTTCCTCTTGTTCCAGACATGGACAAGCCTCCTCCTTCTCCTTGAAGATTTATACACCACTCTAATTCCAAACAGGTTCCTGTTCATTTATGCTGGCCTTGATCTTGGTTTGGTTCATGCTGCCTTTGAGAGGGAATTATTCTTTGACTATTTCTTCTGTCCTGTTTCTCCATGAGCATCCTTCAGGCATAAAACAAGTGGACAAATCTTCCACATGAAATACCTGGGTTACATTTTTAATCCTATACCATTATTCCCTGGGCCAATAATAGAATGGACCTCCAGAAAGAACAGATGTTCAGTTGCTGAATGGAAGAAATGTGCCCTTCTCTATTCAAATGCAGCCCTTCTGAGTAATTAAAGAAATATGTCAAAACTGTTCCCAAGAAGAACCCACATGTCAGCCAAAGAATTAAATATTTTGAGAAGGAGAAGAACCACTTGGTCTATTTTTTCAACTGAGATTGAGAACAAAGGGAACAAGAGAGACAGGGAAGAAATAAATCAGAATTCAAGCTGTAATAAATATAGAAATCTCTGATTGTAATGACAGGGAAAACTACCTAAACTGAGGACTGGTGAAGACCAAAGCCTTTATGTATATGCCTAAGGTTTTTGCCAATTTCTAGCACTTGCATTCAACTTTTGACTAAAGCCAAACCTCCAAAAGGGAAAAATGGGGCATAAAAGGTACTGGAATGATGGAATTATGGGCAATAGACAGAAGCCTTTCCACAATACAAGTATAATTCTTTAACACAGTAGGTTTCAAAAATGGTGGAGGGAAAAATCAGTAGGCACTTGAAGATGTCAGTGCTTTGTGAGAATGGATTTCATAAACTACAAAGCTCTATTCGAATGTAGGCTATTTATTACTACTTGACAAAAAGTGCAATTACCTCTCACGTACAGGTGGGTAGCAAACAGTACTGAGCGTGTCTCAACACCTGTTACAAACCTAAAATGGCAAGAGTAGTTAGGGAAGAAGAAAACACTGAGACGGACTTATTTCTTCTCTGAACTCCAAGCTACCCCTCAGAAAATGGGCCCCTATATGCCCAGGAATAGAAATGAAAGGCTCCCAGAAGCAGAATGCTGTGTCTACTTGGTTATCTGCAAGGATCAAATACAAGTATGTTTTTAGAAGTGGGGCAGCTGCTCAGCTAATCTGGATGTGTACCTGTGAGTCCTCAGGACTTCCCTTTTCCTTTAGTCAACTACTCCTGCAGTCTCTGAGAAGTATAAGACTAAAGTAAAGATACATAGGTGGTTCGGGTCCAGAGTGCCCTGGAGACACAGCACAACTCTCTTCCTTATAACCCATCAGAGCAATTCACGTAAGACACCATTACAGGGTTCCCATCTTTGGACTGTATGTAGAAATCGTTAAGAAATTCCTCATCATCATTTCATTCAATAAATACTTATTGATGTTGAACTACAATTGATACTATGGATATCAAAAGGAGTAAGACAAATAATATGTATGTCACATATGTATTACACATGCACACATGGCCATAAATAAAGCTGACCAATTTGTAGATTGTAGGCACTATTAATTTCCTTCCTCCCCCTTTTATCTTAAATTCCTACCTTCTGTCTTACCATTTTATAACAGACAAATAATTCTGTGACAGTACAACTTATTATATGATATAAGAAATGATGTAATATATGCTGTGATATGATCTGCGATGATGTGGAGTGATGTGATACAACATGGGAGTCGCGAGGATTAAGTGGCATGTTAGCTGAGTTGTAGGCAGTGGCTAGCCTGGTGGACACAGGACAATAGGAATAAGAAATAATGGCAGTTCAATGAATTTGTATTTCAAGAAACAGAACATAAAGATTTCTTCTGGAATCTAAGCCAGTTGATAAACAAACAAAAAAGGTAATGTCAATTAAGATGGGGGACTACATACTACTTGCTTTACCTAAGAAAAGAGGTACTGGAAGAAAATTTAGAGCAAAGCAGAGAAACTAATTTTTACTAACAATCAAATACAAAAGAAATTCAAACTATCTGTCAAAAACAAGGCTAAGTGAACTATTTTTGAAGCAACAAAAAAAGACCCCTGAGTGGGAAATTTTATAGTCATCTTTTTTTCTAGGTCGGAACTCTCTTAAAATGAGACAGAGAAAAATATGGACCTGAAATAAGAGGAAGATGTTAGGAATTCATTCACCACATTGACAGAGATTTGTTCAACAAACAAATGAAGGGCCACTGTAATCAGATAATACAGGACAGGGAATGAATGGAGTAGAATAAATTTAAAAAATATGACTCCCGAGTAAAGGGCAACACATTTTTAGAACACCCATTAGATTGTTAGGTTGATAAGAGAAAATAAATTATTAGAATATGAGAAAGGAAAGAACTATTTTTCATGTTTCTCCACAAGGAAACATTCAGCATACTTTGCAAAAATAAAATATGGCATTTTAGTGTGCTGAACAAACAGTAAGTGAATTCTGGAATTAAAAAATTTCCTAGTGTTCATTCTATGCAACACAGAATGGGGAGGGGAAGAGAACACAATATGCTTCCACATTAACTGACTTGCTTGGTTTTCCTTTATTAAGCATAAATAAAGGGCATCTTGAAAGCACGTAAGTAGAACCTAAGAATGCTTCTTGGTTTTGGTTTTATTTTGTTTTTTAAGAAATAGAATGCCATCATGAAGAAAAGATCTTTGGAAGTCTACAAATTTCATTAAAGTGTAATAGGACTTGCAGGGACAATTACTGTGCTGCACTGTAAGGGGAGCTGTTGGCACGTAAGAGTGAAGCACACGTATGAGCTCATCCACCGGCCTCTGCAAGACCCACTTCCAGTTAGAAGCAGTCATGTTTCAACACCTCTGATTCCCTAATGCTGACAAGCTAAACAACTTGTTTTGTCTCTGGGAGCTCTTCTCTGGTGATTAAGTGCTTATGTTGAATACTAATTATATGAAAGTACAGTACTGAAGAAGTAGTGGCCTCTTTGCTCTACCTGAAGCCTCAACTTGTCTTGGAATCCAGAAGGCACTAGTGAGAGCCACTGCAAACCCAAAACCAGAAAAACATTTTCCTCCACCCTGGTAAATAAATGCACCTCCTTCTACTTTTTAGTATAACACAGTATAGTTTAGTAAAACACAGAGCTCACTGATGAGAAACCTCCTTTAACCTCTGGGCTCCAAACCAAATAGAACTACAATAAAGTGAGTATTTAAAGGCCCATAATAATCATATGGATAAATCTGCAGCAAGAGCTTGTGAACTAGTGAACTTATCAGTGTCCTCGATTCCCTATGTCCCATGTTGAAAATTTACCGCAAATTGTCATTTCTTAGGAACTGCACCTCAGATTAAAATCTTCTCATCAGGGAGTCTACGAGAATTTGTTCTTGTGTTTTAAATCCTAAATGCTTGTTAAACCGGCAACACTGCAAAATTAGAGACCATTAAACAATATAAGGCAGCAAGTGATTAAATCTACCAAATACACATTCAAAGCAGCTTAAGCTACTTTTTAATTAAAAATAAAATATCACTGGTTAAATTCAGATGTCTTAGCTACCCAGAAAAAGTTAGAAGGCTATTCGAAATGCAAAATGCTGCTAAGGCCAGATAGAGAAGGAGAAATGGGGTAGGGGACAGGCAGGGGAGGTGGCTCCCCTTGTCCCCAAGCCCACGGAGGGAGGGCCTTGCAGTGCTGACCGGGTTTAGTTGGAGGACAGGAAGGGGGTAGTCGTGGCTGCGCTGCAGGGTGAAGACTCCATGTGGCTGCTGATTAAATAAGCTTTATTAGCAAAGGCCTCAGAGGAGACAGGGTGTTCCACCTTCTTGGCAAGGGGAATGAGTCGAGTACAAGCATTGCAGGAAGCCGAGGCATTTGGGGATGTATATATGGCCCAAGGAAATGTTACTGCTATTTTTAAATATAGCTTAAACTAATTGGTAAACAGTTCTTGAAATAATTATTAGTGTTTAGGGAAGGAGGCATGGGGACATTTGGGTTAATGGGATCGCTTAAGATTGAAAGAAATTTCTACTGTAAAACTAGAAATAAATAAACATTGTAGCTTTAAGTTGTTCCTACTTTTAGAGAAAGGAAAAAGGACCAGGGGGCTTAGTCAATGTCGGGCAGGAGGCCAAGAATCTGAAGATTCAGACTTAAGGCTGGGGTGATATCATTCACTCTGAAGTCTTGATACACTTTCTAAAGCATGAGAAAATTTACGGGTAAAACCTTACCTCACCCACAGTTTTCTTATTTTTAACTCTATTTTTTTCTTTCAAGAATAATTTTCCAAACCTGTTTTCTACTTTATATGTAAATGTTATGAATTTACATTTAGCTTTCAACATGGTCTTACCTAAAAAGCTTGCCCTAAAGTAAAGTACGGGCACTTGGTAGCTGTATGAATATAAGACATGATACTCGTATTTAATCACTTCAGTTCCCACTGCCATCTCAGTTGCTTCAAAATCCTCCAGTGGTAGCTCTGAGGCATCCTGAAAAAAGCCAACACAACAAAATGTTTGTCAATAAACAAAAAAAAAGGTATATTAACACAGAGAGGGAAAGATGAGGTTTTCTTCTGGCAAAATAACAGTTAAATATAGGACTGTGAGGTAAGGAAAAGGGAGTTTCCTACATTAATGTTTAACATTTGAGTCCTGGGTAAATAGTAAAACCAGAAACATTAGCATTAAGTAATTCCAGATTGTTTTTGAGAGACAAAGCAGCTCTGGGTAAAGAAACAGGAAGGAAAAAAAAAGCAAGATCTATTGCAACAGCAACTCTGAAAAATCTTTACTGTACAATTTTAGCAACAAAGATGATGGCTATACAAGCTACCTTCTTCCCTACCTGTGAAAGCTAAAAACATCCTAACAATTGAACAAGAGACTGTGAAATGTCCCTAAAGATTCTATTGTGCTTGCCAAAAGATGATTCATTGTGTGCTGAACAATTCCCAGTTCCATTTTGAATAAGAAAGTTATTTTGCAAGAGGTTAAGTTTGTTAGGTACATTTCAAAACCTGAGAAGAATCTGTTTTCTTTACTATTGTGCTATCTTTGGCATATTTCTACAATAAATCTTGATTTATAATAGAGTAGATAGACAAATATTAATGTTAATTTGAACAGGGCTTTGTAAGCAGAGATGGTTATAAAGCCAGCTCACTTCTCACCTAATCATTCTTGACTGGTTGATTTTTTAATTATTTGTGGAATTTTCTGAAGAATGTATCTTGATGTTTGGAAGTGATTAATTGTACACTTGGAGTCAGAATCTGGCTCCATCCACATTCACTTGTTTATTTGGGTTGAAGAATTTCCTTTGAAATTAGTACAAGAAAGAAGCAGAGTGGTTTGGCTCATTTTTACCTCTCATTAAAACAGTAACAAAAGTGAACAATAGGAAAGAGCTACAGGAAAGATTTCAAACTTTGTCAATATGAAATAAGGTTTCCTGTGGAGATAAGTAAAGCCACAGACTACTCGCCAGATCTATATCAGCTTTACTAATTCCCCACTCACAGTCAATTCATTGGGAGAGATATTACACTAGATAAATCACAACTGGAGATATTTACAAAATAGCTTTTCACTAAACTCCAGTAAACACTATCAATTAAACACAATGAATTAAATAACCAGAGAGAAATTACTGAAATAAATATTCCAGATACAGAAAATTAATACAGTAGCTAGGAAAAGGCTTTTCTACTTTTTAATTTAAATTTTCATTGGGCAAAGCAATCTATATAGTCTTTGAAAGCAATTCTTTAAACCAAATTCTTTCCTTTTGGTCAAAGATTGGGTAGTTCAACATTTATAATTTCTTTCCTTAACATTATAAAACAGTATATATTTGTGATTTTTATAAATTACAATACTATAAATATACATAAAATAAGATTCCCTTCATTCCAGCACTCCTAGACCGCAGACTTAGAACCATTTCTAAGAGTTCAGTGTGTGTATTTCCAGACATTTTGGTATTTTGGCCTAAAACATGTATACACACACACATATATACACCCACCCAACCCTCAATTAAATCACACTATATAAACATCCATCCTTTGATTTTTCACTCACGGACTTCCTAACATGTGCTGATGTGTCAGTGCTGTAGATCTTGCTCTTTCTTTCAATGGTTTCCCTGTATCCCATTGTATGCCTATGCCATAGCATTTTAAAAAGCATTTCCATATTGCCTGATATATTAGGATTATAAATTTCTGTTACAATAATTATAATGAACATCTTAGCATATATATTCTTAAATACCTCTATTTTTCTAGGGCGAAGATTCCTGAAGGTAGCATTGCTATAGGAAAGAGTATATGCATTTTAAATTTCAATAGATACTGCCACCTGTCCTCAGAAAAAGGCTGAATCAATTTGTATTCCCAGCAAAAATAAATAACAATGCCCTTTCCTATATTCTGTAAGTAGTGAATTTTATTATTTTAAACTGTTGCCTATTTGATGAATTTTCAAATGTCAATTTTTCGGTTTTTAATTTTTTGTTTCTTGATCACTAGTAAAAGTGAATATCTATTTGTATGTTTACTGATAATTTCCATTCCTCTGTGATTTGCCTCTTTTTATCCTTTGCCTATTTTTCTGATATTTAGCTTGCATTTTCTTTATTGGATTACATAAATTCTTTGTATAATAGCAATAATAACATTATCGGGTATATATTTTATAGGTATATACATATATATCTCTTTACCATAGAAAAACAGAAGCATGCAAGGATATGTTTGATATGTATATGTGTGTATATATCTATGTATTAACATTTCATTGTTTTCTTTCTATTTTGTTTTTTCCACATTTTATCATAGTTTTTTTTTTTACTTTCATGCAGTCGAACCTGTACATTTGTTTTCAGCATCTGAGCTCCTTATCTTTATTAGAACTCTCCTGCTCTGCCATAGTTCACCCTTCAAATTATAAACGTTAGCTCCTTTATTCTATGCACACATACATATATATGTGTCTTTGTTTTTGTTTTTTTGGTATCATTAATCTACAATTACATGAGGAACATTATGTTTACCAGACTCCCGCTATCACCAAGTCCCCTCCACAAACCCCATTAAAGTCACTGTCCATCAGCATAGTAAGATGCTGTAGAATCACACTACTTGTCTTCTCTGTGTTGCACAGCCCTCCCTGTGCTCCCACACACACATTATACATGCTAATTGTAATGCCCCTTTCCTTTTCCCACCCCCTTATTCCTCCCTTTCCACCCATCCTCCCCAGTCCCTTTCCCTTTGGTAACTGTTAGTCCATTCTTGGGTCCTGTGATTCTGCTGCTGTTTTGTTCCTTCAGTTTTTTCTTTGTTCTTATACTCCACAGATGAGTGAAATTATTTGGTACTTGTCTTTCCCTACCTGGCTTATTTCACTGAGCATAATACCCTCTAGCTCCATCCATGTTGATGCAAATGGTAGGATCTGTTTTCTTCTTATAGCTGAATAATATTCCATTGTATATATGTACCACATCTTCTTTATCCATTCACCGACTGATGGACACTTAGGTTGCTTCCATTTCTTGGCTATTGTAAATAGTGCTGCGATAAACATAGGGGTGCATCTGTCTTTTTCAAACTGGGCTCCTGCATTCTTAGGGTAAATTCCTAGAAGTAGAATTCCTGGGTCAAATGGTATTTCTATTTTGAGCTTTTTGAGGAACCTCCATACTGTTTTCCACAATGGTTGAACTAATTTACATTCCCACCAGCAGTGTAGGAGAGTTCCCCTTTCTCCACAACCTTGCCAACATTTGTTGTTGTCTGTCTTTGGGATGGTGGTGATCCTTACTGGTGTGAGGTGATATCTCATTGTGGTTTTATTTGCATTTCCCTGATGACTAGCGATGTGGAGGATCTTTTCATGTGTCTGTTGGCCATCTGAATTTCTTCCTTGGAGAACTGTCCGCTCAGCTCCTCTGCCCATTTTTTAATACGATTATTTGCTTTTTGTTTGTTGAGGTGCATGAGCTCTTTATATATTTTGGATGTCAACCCTTTATCGGATCTGTCATTTATGAATATATTCTCCCATACTGTGGGATGTCTATTTGTTCTATTGATGGTGTCCTTTGCTGTACAGAAGCTTTTCAGCTTGATATAGTCCAACTTGTTCATTTTTGCTTTTGTTTCCCTTGTCTGGGGAGATATGTTCATGCAGAAATCGCTCATGTTTATGTCCAAGAGATTTTTGCCTATGTATTTTTCTAAGAGTTTTATGGTTTCATGACTTACATTCAGGTCTTTGATCCATTTCAAATTTACTTTTGTGTATGGGATTAGACAGTGATCCAGTTTCATTCTCTTACATGTAGCTGTCCAGTTTTGCCAACACCAGCTGTTGAAGAGGCTGTCATTTCCCCATTGTATGTCCATGGCGCTCCTTTATCATATATTAATTGACCATATATGTTTGGGTTAATATCTGGACTCTCTATTCTGTTCCACTGGTCTGTTCTTGTGCCAGTACCAAATTGTTTTGATTACTGTGGCTTTGTAATAGAGCTTGAAGTTGGGAAGCGAGATCCCACTTTATTTTTCCTTCTCAGGATTGCTTTGGCTATTCGGGGTCTTTGGTGGTTCCATATGAATTTTTGAACTATTTGTTCCAGTTCATTGAAGAATGCTGTTGGTATTTTGATAGGGATTGCACTGAATCTGTAGATTGCTTTTGGCAGGATGGTCATTTTGGCAATATTAATTCTTCCAAGCCAAGAGCATGGGATCAATTTCCATTTGTTAGTGTCCTCTTTAATTTGTCTTAAGAGTCTTGTAGTTTTCAGGGTGTAGGTTTTTCACTTCCTTGGTTAGGTTTATTCCTAGGTATTTTATTCTTTTTGATGCAATTGTGAATGGAATTGTTTTCCTGATTTCTCTTTCTGCTAGTTCATCGTTAGTGTATAGGAAAGCAACAGATTTCTGTGTATTAATTTTGTATCCTGCAACTTTGCTGAATTCAGATATTAGTTATAGTCATTTTGGAGTGGACTCTTCAGGGTTTTTTATGTATAATGTCATGTAATTTGCAAATATTGACAGTTTGACTGATTGCCGTGGCTAGGACCTCCAGTACTATGTTGAATAACAGTGAGGAGGGTGGGTATCCCTATCTTGTTCCCAATCTTAGAGGGAAAGCTTTCAGCTTCTCGCTGTTAAGTATGATGTTGGCTGTGGGTTTATCATATATGGCCTTTATTACATTGAGGTACTTGCCCTCTATACCCATTTTGTTGAGAGTTTTTATCATGAATGGATTTGAATTTTGTCGAATGCAGGAGATTATCCTGCAGTTTTTGTCCTTCTTTTTGTTGATGTGGTGGATGATGTTGATGGATTTTCGAATGTTGTACCATCCTTGCATCCCTGAGATGAATCCCACTTGGTCATGTTATATGATCCTCTTGATGCATTTTTTAATTTGGTTTGCTAATATTTTGTTGAGTATGTTTG